CCCCCCCCCCGCCAACCCCCAAAAAATACGAATATTATTTAACTTTTTTCTTCATTTGTACCACCACCACTCATCCCCCAATCCTCTCTCACCCATTATTACTACTACCATCATAGGATACAACGCTTTACATTTATCTCTATCTTTCTATCTTTATCTATCTCTCTTTCTTCCTTTTTAAACAAATGCAGCAGTCAAATGAGTATGGAAAAAAGTGTGGTTCGAATTACACGTACGCTCGAAACGTGTTAACAATTCATTTCTTTTTTTTTTTTTTTTTGTATATTTTCTTTTTTATTTTTTTACACACATACACACAACAAACCTCCTATACTCTCATCTAATCCACCCACGCATGCATTTAATACATATACGTTATACATATTTGCGAAAAGTAGAGCGTGTACGTTTTCAAAGTAAAAGAAGAGAAGGAAAGTGGTAGTAAAAGAGGAACAGCTTTGTCACCGAATCTGCGGGTACCATCCTATCATGTATTACTATTACTAACACACTTAACAAACACATACACTCATACTCATACTCACACGTATACACATCGATATTTATATATATATATATATATATATTTCCTCTTCAACCCTTCTCACAGTTTCCTTTACCCCCAAAGAGCAGCACCAGGCACCAACACAAGGCACCAGCATTTCTTTTTTTCTCACCCCTTCTCACCCTCATCTCCCTTCGTATAAGTGAGAAACACCACCAACGCGGTCGCTTTAACGATCCGTTCTAGATGCGACTTTTTTCGCATCGCATTTTTTATTTCCCTTACATCCACCCCCACCAGTACCACCACCCCGCTGTTAACTTTTCTACAACCCCCTCTACCCACCCCACGTCTCATTCTGTTTGAAACACGACGAGTATCGAGCTTTTTTATTTTATTTTTTCTGGCCTGTTATGCAGTTACTATTTTAACGCTTGTGAGTAATGCAAGGAGATACATAGATTTCTACATATATATATATATATATATATATATATATATATGTAGAAATACATGTACATGAGTATATGCATGTATATATAGATTTTACTAAGGTATGTGTGGTTAAATAGGAAACACTTGATGTATCTTTATTTTTTTATATATAAAAACAATTTAAAACTACTTCCACGAGTTATGCTGCTTGTTTGATTTGTTTATAACTCTCGAATACGTTTTGTTTTTTATTTTTTAGGATTATTTATTACTGAATTTAACGTTGCATTTAATAAGAATTAAAATAGTAAATGTGCCAGTATTGTTTCTATTATTATTTATCATTTTATAACGTTTGTGGTTGTTGCATTTTTGTTGAAATTGTTAATTAAGACAAATGTTGTATGATATATATATATAATTAGAGTGATACAAGTTTTATATTATTTATAATTTAATTTGTTTTTTTATAT